GTGATATACAGATGATGTATTACAGAACCCTCCCTTTTAGTTGATTCTATGCCCCTGGATTGTGAACTTGAAAAATATTTCTCAGTTTTATTCTCCCACCTTATGTGGAACAGGATGGTCACCATGGGCTGGAGTTGCATTTCCCTTCCCCTATGTGGAATGCTAGAGCTGCTGGAGTTGGCTATTTCTCTTTTGTCAGATGACTTAGACTTTGATAAAACTTCAGCAGGTTAGGCTCTGGTTAACGAGTTTTACCCGAGAGCAGACCTTGTTGAGAACAGAACGGTCTGGTGTCTTTCTTTCTTTTTTTAAATTAAATTTACTGGGGTGACATTGGTTAATAAAATTATATAGGTTTCAAAATGCTTCCTTTCCCCCTCCCCTTGCCAGCAGCATTAGGGTTATTTTTTCCCCATATACAATATGAGGACTTGGTAAAGCTCCTGAAAACAAAACTCACAAAAGTGTGGGAGCTTCCCCACCATTACTTGGTCCCAGGGAGTTTTTAACTCTCAGACTTGTCTACCCTGTGTCCTTGGCAATTTCTAAATTATAGTTCTCATTTTCCTACCATAAGAATGGATCCCACAGAATATTCAGCTCCTGATTTTTCTGCTCAAATATGTTGTGGTTCTCAAAATTTACTTGTCAGTCTTTCCAATTTGGAGGTCAGCAATTTGCCCTGTGACCTCACTTCTCTTCCATATCTAAGAAGAGATGTTGATTTCTCAGTTCAGCTTTATGTTGGTGTTAGGAAGTAGTGGTGACTTCCAAGCTCTTTACATGCAGAAACAAAACTTGAAAGAATTTTGTTTCTTGGAAATTGACATTTATTGCTCAATGGGACAGGCGGAACACTGCTCATAATACTTACAATAATGATTGTTTCAAAAATATTTACTTAATCTTCACTATGGGCCAATTCCTGTTTTGACTGTGACACTTGTATCAATTCATATAACCCACACAACAAGCCCATGTCATAACTACTATTATTTCTCCATGTTACAAATAAGGAAACAGAGTTGCATTTTAAGTCACATTAAGGAACTTGTCTCAAGGCCATCCAGTAAGGGGCTAGTGAGGTTGACACTGCATGGGGCTGGGAGGCCTCAGGGCCTACAAACAGGTAGAGGAAACAAGGAGGAAATGATCACAGGCAAAGTTACACCAGTCCAGAAAAAGCTTGGTTCTTTAAGGAGAGGGGGTTGTGTGGGCTCAGCAAATCTTCCTGCTTTCCCTGGGATTCCTGAGATCACAATATGAAACACAGACAGGGGACACTGGTTTTTGTTATGTTCCTTTGGGTCTCTGTAGTTGACTCCTCTTTAGTTTGTACTGAACATGCCAGCTGGTCTCAGCTACATGGGAGATAAAGATGAGAGGCCAGGTCTAAGAGGAGAGGCCAGTTCCAAGAGGGGTGGGGAGGAGACCATCTCCACCCATGGGACCAGGTGTGGCAGTTGCAGTAAGGGTTCTAGTGCTGAGACCCAGCTGCTCCAGGCTTGGGGACTAGGGGAAGAATGTAACCCATGTGTGAACTGCATCTGTGTCTCGCACCATTTCTCCAATCCTATCTTCAGCACCTTCTATTCAAAGCAAGTACAGCTTGTCATTTTACTCCCTCCTCCCCCATAGTGCAGTGGAAAGTGGATTCACAAGGATCCGGTTTCCAAACCCAGATGGCTGACCTTAGGTAAAGTCACTTCCATTCCTTGAGCCTCGGTGTCTTCATCTGTAAAATGGGGAAACCTCATTCATGGGATTGTTGTAAGAATGAAATGATATAAAATCGATGAGATCTAAGTCCCACTCATGCCCCATACATATCGTCTGACAATTCCAGCTCTCATTCAGTTCTCCCTTCTGGTACCTCTGAAAAATTTAGCCTGTTCTCAAAGCCTAAGAGCCTGGTCAGTTTCCAGGTGTGGCATCTGCTCCCTCCCTCCCTCCAAGCTCTTTACAGTCCTCATGTTATAAAAAAAAATTAGCTTTTCATTCATGGCTTACTGCTTCTGGACCCTGGTTCTCAGTCCTATTTAGGTTTGGGAGCAATCATCTCTAGGTAGCACTGGGATGGGTACACAGCATACAACAAAAATGCTCACCTTATGAGCTTGTTTGGCATTGGCTGTGTTGCCATCCTCCCATGCCCTCATGGAGCTCACAAAGTCAAGCTTGCTTTGTGTTTTTTGTGGGGCCAACAGCTGGGCCTATCGTGTAGATTTTTCCATAATAATAGGGTCCCTTTGCCTTTTATATGCTGCTTGCTCTGTCTGGAGTACATTCCCATCCCAACCTACTGCATCATATGGCTAATTCCTGCTCCTCATTATAGGACCAATTCAAATATCAGCTTCCCTAGGAACCTCCTTGGCCTTCTTTTCTGTATCTCAAGTAGTTACTCCTTTCCTCTGGGTGCTCCCATGGCACTCTGTTCTTGCCTCTCCCCTTTTACTGCATGGTCTCTATTTGAAAACTCATTATAGAATACTTCAGTTGGATAGAAAGACGTAAAAAATATTGTAATGAACAACCACGTACCCAATTCAATAAAATATTAGAAATATAGTTAAGAGTCTATATAATCTTCTCTGATTACATTCTCTTTCAATTCCCAAAGATAAGAATATCCAGAGTTAGTATTTATAATCCCCTTGCTTATGTATATACTTAAAATATAGTATAGTATTACTTTAATGTCTTCAAAGTTTATATTAATGATATTACACTGTATGCATCATTCTGTATCTTGCTTTTTGTTTTGGTGTGTTATGTGTTTGAATATTATCATTTTTATATATGTAGGTCTGATTCATTTTAATTCTTTATAGTATTTTATTATATGAATATATTCACGAGGATGTCAGCTTCATGAAGGAAGATGTTTTGTTCACTGAAATATCACCAGTGCCAGGAACAGGGCCTGGTACATAACAGATTTTTAATAAATATTTGTTGAATAGCTATGACAGTTTATCCTTTCTTTTGCTGATAACACATGAGGTTGGACAATTAAGTTTGCGAACTCATCCCAGAAAAAGTGCTACATATCTCATCGCTGAATACCACTATGTTCACCTTCAAAGTACTCCCCTTGGGAAGCTATGCACCAGCGCCTATTCCACTCTTCAAAGCAATTTTGGAACTCTTTCTGGAATGGCCATCAGAGCTGTCGTCATATTACCCTTGATGTCCTGAATGTCATCAAAATGTCTTCCTTTCAATATTTCCTTTATCTTAGGGTAAAGAAAGAAGTCATTGGGATGGGCTGGCCGAGTGGCTCAGTTGGTTAAGAGCTCACTCAAGAGTGTGAGCTCTGAGCAACAGGATCTCCGGTCGGAGCTGAGCTGCCGCTGAGCTGCCAACAGGTGGCAGGATGGCTCAGCTTAAAAAAAAAAAAGGATCCAGATCAGGTGAGTAAGAAGGGTGTTCCAATACACACACTTGTTGCAAAAGCCATGAATTGTTGACGAAAGGTCTAGCTTTTTTATGCAGCCTTTTCAGCACTTCCAAATAGTAAACTTGCTTAACTGTTTGTGCAGTTGGTACAAATTTATAATGAATAATCCCTCTGATATCAGAAAAGGTTAGCAACATCGTTGCAACAAGTTCACAAACTTAATTGTCAGACCTCGTACATAGTATTTTCAGGTTTTGATTATTACAAATAATGCTGTAATGAACAGCCTTGTATATTCTCTTTATGAATATGTTATAGGAGATTTTCTATGGTCTGCCCCAAGGAACACAATTTCTAGGTTGGAGAGTATTCACTCCTTCAACTCTACTAACTAATCCCAAATCATTGTTTTCCCAAGAGGTTGTACCAATTTACCCTTCTCCACCTGCAAAATATGTGTGTTCCTGTTGCTCTAGATCCCCACCAACATATGGAATTTAGGACTTAAAATTTTGGTACTGTCTCTAATGATCTCTTTCATTCAGAATCAACTTTGAGCTCTTTTAAGACATGAGGTTTGTCTTATTTGCCTTTATATCCCTAAGCCTACCATGGTGCCTGGCACCAAGTAGATACATCTATTCACATTGGGTCTGTGTTTGCTACATAGAAGGAGTTAAGACAGCTTTTATTTCTGAATGCTGGAATCAAATTTTTAAGAACAAAGTTATAAATGACTTGGTGGCTCTCCTTATGTTAAAGTTCTTTGTCTGATGATTTTTTAATCTGAGCTTGAAAGGTATATATGCCTGTCAACTTCCAGGTCATAGCATTTGTTCTATTCCTCTCCTCACTTCTCACTACTGCCCTGTGGTAATAGAAACCATGCTATCTGCACTGTTGTTCATGGAAATGCATCATTATCTACCTTCTGCTTAAAATTCTTGTCTGCTTTTCCTGGTGTTCATCATTTACCACTTTACATTTCTGTACATACTCTTCCTCTTGGCCTTGATCATATATATATATACATATATATATACATATATATATATATATATAATGTTATAGGAGAAATATCTATGGTCACGGGTTGTAAAGTATAGCATGGGGAATTCAGTCAATGGCATTGTACAATAATAGCTATATGTGATGTCAGAGGGTAGTAGATGGGGGGTGATCACTTTGTGAGGGGTGTAAATGTCTAATCATGTTGTTTTGTACACCTGAAACTGATAAAAAAAAGAGACTGGTTGCTTATTTGGACATTCTGAGCAACTTTTGCATTCAGCTTCTTTTCAAAACGGGGCCCCTCCATTTGCCCTCCCGAATACACTGTAGCCTAGGGCAAGAGAAATCCTGGTCAGCCGTTGGCCCAGGTTCCCAGGTACCCATCAGTGATGAACCTGAATGGTTCCAGGGGCTCTCTCCTGGATGTCACAGGGTACTATCAGTACAGGTGTGTCCTAAACCAGACCTAGGCCACTTTTTTGTGTACACATACCTGTGAAATAATGGAAACCCGTGGTCTTCTGAAAGTTTGTTTACTTCACATGTAATATTCATCTTTGTAAAATCATCCCAAGTAAAAGTGACAGAGGAAGGAGAGGTACTGCTTGGAAGAGGCAGCAGTTAAAGCTTTCAGAAACATATAAATGTCAAATAAGATCAGGCAAACAATGACTGGATTGTGTACATATAGACTTCTATATTTAAAATAAAAGATACAATATAATTTGATTACATAATAATACGATACAATTTATGGAAGGGGAGGATTTCTTCACATGGGTACATTCTCCATCTGGCTAAGTGGAAAGCTAAGGAAAAGTTGTGTTATAGGGGATTTATTTAGGTTTAGGATTTTCCTGGCATATTTGTAGTCAGGGAAAGCAAGGTCTACAAATGAAATGCGAGCTGTAGGAGGTAGAGGGTTGCTTCTGACACAGTGGAATTTTTTGTCAGAACTGGAAATTTGTTGAGCACTACATTGCACTATCCTGATCTTCATTTATTGGCCAGCTAGGCCCACCTCCTTATTAGCATGGCAGTATCATCAGTCTAGGGGAGAGCTTCCCATTTTCTCTCTGTGGGGTAAACTGAAAATTTCATATTACAAGGTAGGGGTTAAAGGACAATCCTCTATCAAAAACATCCTATCATTCTTCAGTTACCCTATTTCTGGAGCAAATGGTTTTCGTTTACCTAGGGGGAATAGTTGTCCCTGTTCAGAATTGCATCCTCTTGGTAGGGGGGAAATACCAGCAGGGTAGGATGGCCCCAAAGGTTGGTGGGCCTTTCACCTAACAGTCACTTAGGAAGAAAATACAGTGAGCACTTATTTGAGACATGAGGAGCTCCATGTCTCAAAGAACTGAAGTCTTGCATCAGACTACTTGTTGGCACAGCCAGCCAGCAATGTCCCTGTGGTTGCACTACTGCTGCTACCTTGGCTGTAAGTGCATCTCTGGGTGCCAGAGGGAGAGTGGTCTGTGATTTCTTTGAATAACTCCCCTCAACTGTCTGCCAAGAGATAAGATTAGAGAGATAGAAACAGGTAAGAATAGATCTCTGAGAGGAATCTCATTGTCTATGGGGAATGGAGGGACTGTGGAAACAAAGCACAGCCTGGCTGCAGGTGACAATACCAGGGTGAGATTAGCACTCTGCAGGCAAACCAGTCCTCTCTCTATTAGCTACTTTTGGCATCAATATATATTGGTGTCAGAGGGCCTCTTGAAGAGGGTGTTTGTAGAACTGCAGAACAGAGGGGGGCATCTTAGCCAAAGTACCCTTCCCAGCCATGCAAAATCACCTTTGCCAACTCCTGGGAGTGACTCCTTAACAAGTCTGCTTCCAGTCTGCTGCTAAGCACTCATAGATACACAGGAGTCCAAATAGGCAAATAAAAGCAATTATCAACAAGCTATGCATTTATTCTCCTAAGGAGGATATTGGAGGCCTCAGAATTTGCATTTGGAGAGTCAAAAGTATCTCCAAGCCCTAAAATCCTTGCTGTTCCCATGGTCTAGAAATAATAAGTGAAATAGTCCAGAGAATGTGACAAATAAAAGTTCATCATGTTGAGTGCAAGATCTTAAGACTTTACCAACTAAATTAGAGAAATATAAGTAACTAGAGGTACTCCTGGGGGCCATGCAACAATCCCTGAGAAACTTGGTTAGTTGGACTCCCTTAATAATTCAAGCTCCACTCCCCAACCTCACAAGTAATTGGATAGGTAAAAGAGTCAATAACAACCCATTTTTCCTCTCCCCTTCTCATCCTCTTGGGTGAAAGGGAGCTATAAGCAGAGTGAAATTTACCTAGAGTTTGACAGAACATCTGCCCAACATGGAGCACTGGAAGGAGCTCAGTGCAAGAAGATATGGACTGCTAATTCCCAGAGAGGAATGAGGTATCTGACATTTGGAACTATTATTGGAAACCACTGTGTACTCTGCATGAGAGGTGGTCCAGCCTGCAGAAAGGTTGCCATTATAATATGCAACTTTTGGTATGGCATAACAAGTTAGAAACATCATTTCTGTATATATGTGTATATGGCTACATAAAAATATACTCCATTAAATGGAAGGAGTAATAAAGCTTAAAACAATAGATTAGAAATATACCAACAAAATACAGTAACATTCGGGTAATGTATCCACTGTAGGCTGTGGACAAGAATCAATAAGATAAGGGATTGTTGGTTGGCTCACTGTAGCTGCTCACCATGGCCTGCAGAGGGCTGGTATACCTGCCCAACCTTCAAGTGAGAAGGGACATTCTTGATGGAGTGTTCCTCCCATTCAGGGGGTAAACAGAAGTGAGGAGCCTCCCTTACTGCTTGTCTTCCCTGACCTTGGCACAATATGAGGTACAGTAGAGAATGGGGGGGGGGCAAAAACAAAAGAGGTCTTCAGAGGTTGAGTAGAGCAGGAAAAAGTGGAGGCAACTGTCTTAAGTAATTGGGCCAAGGCAGCCCACTCTGAAGTGGCTTTTCATTCAAGGACAGCCAGTCTGGAACATAATTACACTAAGAAGATAAGGTATGAATGATATCAATTCAAAAACTGGAACTTCAAAATAATGTTTTGTTCAACAGTTTAACAGTTTAAAATGTTACTGTTGTTCGCTGGTCTAAACATCTCATCATGAAATCTTATGGAGAGGAATGTGGTCATTTCTTCAAAAATTATAGTTCCTGAGACCTCTTGTCTATATTGCCTTTGTAGCTACATGAGGTCCTATTGAAAGTTCTGGTCAGCGTCTGCCTTGAGGAAAAGCTTTTTATAAAGTAGATGCAATACAAGCATGTCCAGCCAAAGGGGAATCCTCTTGCTGAATGAATTACGGGATGAATTTCTCTTCACTCAAACACTGGATAGAAGAACCATGCACATTACTGAAGAATTTTTTGAACACTTGAAAGACTCTTTCCCCCAGTGAAGCTAAATCATAAATGTGATGAGAGTATCATTGACTCTGTTCCTGTGGATCCCACTATACATAGTTTGTGTTAGCCAAGGCTGGCCCTTGACAAAGCTGCTGACCATCAGGGGCAATTGGGAATTCTCCTGGATAGGTGTCCAAATGATGATCAATTTATTGCTATCTCTAGAGCCATCATTTCTCAGCAGAGACAGGCAAGAGGGAGGAACGAGGCTTGGCTTTTCACCATAACCTCCTAGTGGTAGCTTACTCCATTCAACTCACAGGGTCTACTTAAATCAGTGGCAAAGCTGATTCAGACCATTTCCTAGGAGCACAGCCATGACATAACCACTTTCTGGAGAAAAGCTGGAGGAAGAGGACCATCCTAATAGTGGTTGGAGGCTAGTGGTGATTTCCCCCATCATTTCTTCTACCACACACATGGCACTACTTGTTGAGCCAAGCACAGATGTTTCTAGTATTGTCAGTAGGCTAAGGCATGGGGTGGTAAAAGGGTTTGCATTTACCTCTTGGTTCTGAATATGCCCAAACTGGAGTTTTTCTAGGGCTTATAGCCCTGCGTGTCTGGGCATTTTTACGAACTTCTTAAATAGACAGGGTATGGACCTAGCCTGCCTTTCACTGCCTTTTACATCACCAATGCTCTTGGGTCACAAGTGAAAATTGGGTTTCAACAGTCCTGGGGTTCTTTGAGCTACTATAGAAAAGACGGGGGCAGTTGCAGCAGAAGCCCAGGCCTCTGTTTCCATGAGGAAAGACATGTTTTTTGGGTGCATGCTAGCCAAAAAGGAATGCAAAGGAAAAAAATAACTACTTTTGGGGTCTCTTCCAGTGGCATCGTTGTTTATATTAGCAGGTGTTTATATGTATGCACACATGTGGCTACACCATCCAAATAATGGAAAGGGCATTGGGCCAGTAATCAGGAGACACGAATGCAAGCCCCTTTTCTTTTCTGGTTATTAGTTTTCTCGTTTACAAAAGGGGAAGTAGGAAGGAACCAGAGTGTCTTTCAGGTCCTCATTTTTGTAGAATGCTGCTTGCTCCCTTTTTTCTCTGATGCTATGAAAATGAATCAGAGGAGAAGGCTCACTAATTCTAAAGTCAGTGGATAGTCTCCTCATGCAATCCAGGGATGAGCACATTGTCCAGCCTGGTGTAGCTTCATGATCCTGGGCTTAGGGCGCAGTTGGGAGGCACTGCCTTGTTCGATGTGATTCAACTGCACAGTTGTTTTTGAAAGGGGAGACTACAGATAGCGTCAGTCTTTAGCATGGTCAGGAGGATAACTACAGGTTCCTCCTTCAGCAGAGAAGTAGCTACAGGAGCTTTCTGGAAGTGGAGAAGTACAGGCCAATCTGGAAGGGCAGCAAGCACAAACTCTCTCCTCATTGCTTTTGTTTGAGTCCACGTAGATACACTTTGTGTGCTGATGTTTGCCTGACATGTGGATTTGGGGGCTTATATATCAAAGTCATGGTGTTCTTGAAATCCACATGAGTACTGGGTAATAGCCAGAGAATCTGATTGGATGTTTTTTGGCATGGGAACAACACAAAGGTGATGAAACTGGCAGTGTATGCGGAGCGTATCCTAAATATACAGGGTGTGCCCAACTCCCATTGGCGCTGCTAGAAATTGCTTGAATGCAAAGGAGGCTGTGGAGTATTAGATAGATACCTCATGGGATACATTGCAGGCAAATAGCTGTCCATTGCCTTCCACTGTCAAACCCTAGTAGATTCTAGGTCTGAACAATGGCTGCTTTAATTGTTTTTAAGAAAAGATATCCGGGTAAAATTCCACCAAGCCCTGCTTGGAGGCTGACTATTAAGATCTGAATATGATGGGGCTACAGTTCCTGACTGGAGGCTCTGGGGGTCTTTGAGGGGTCAACAGAGATTGTTCTTTTTAGTGGCCCTCATGAAAGTACAATGGGCCAAGTTGCCAAGTTAGGGGGTTACATATGGAATTACTGAAGGTGCTATTGTGGGGCTGTAACACCCAAGTAGGGTAACTGGTGTTTAATAGAAAAAGAAATGGGACTGAACATCTTGTTGTTTCTCTATCAGGCCTGAGGTCCTGGCTTGGGCCAGCTGTGCCCCCCAAAGTTGTGAAGAATGGAAATTCTCCGTCAAGGTGTTCTTTCATTCTCCAGTCCCAAGTTAGTTATTCTGTTACCATGACATGGACATGGAAAGAATTGGTGATTTCTGAGGCAAAAAGAGATTAATTTGAAAAGGGGCAGCAAAAGAAGGGCACTGGTATTAGATTACATGGGTAGAGTGCTATAGTGGACCACAGAGTTATAGTCAGGTGGTGGGCTGTGGCATTCAAGGGTAGGATCCAGTGGCAGGAGGGAAGTCTCTTTCATCTGGTCTTCGTCTTCAAGCTCAAGGGCTGAGTGGTATTTTACAAACTCCATCTCAGTCTCCCTCTGAATGGTCTTATTGTTCTTGCTGACAGTTCTCAGGCTAGTCAGAGAGAGAGAGAGAGAAAAAAACATGCTTAGCACTGGTAGTTTGGGAGATAGGAGAGCGTGTTTTAGACAGAGGAGTTCCAGAGGCTGGCAGACACGGAGAAAACCTGATGCTTATTTTGAAAAGAACAAGTTTCTCCCTTTGAGGAAGCCAAAGATCAGTGCAGGTGTAAATGCACTGTGGTGATTTTGTGCTAGGCAAATGGGAAAACTCAAGAAATAGGAATTGTGGTCCCTTCTAGCAGGCAGTTTCTAATCTGATTGCAGAAAGCCACCAGGAATATTTTCAATGTAGCTTGTGTTCACAGTTAACACTGCCTCAAGCCCCAGGAAATTCTACAGAGCTGTGTAACTTTGGAAGAGTCACATTATAGGCTTCAATTTCTTCATCTGTAGGATGAATATGAGGAAAGAAAGTTGGATTAGATGATCTTTAAGCTCTTTCTGGCTCTAATATCTTATTTGACTATTTTGGGCCTATAAAAATGACAATTGCATATAGTTTAACTTAAAGCTTTCAAGGTATCATGCTCTCTGTCACAAGAAGACTCCTATATCACCCCACACTAGTTCTTCTCTTTAATATCACTCACTTTTCTCATTATGTAAAAGGAAGAGTGAAAGGTTTCCTGGACTCCCAGAGTGGTTGCAGTAGGGGTGGGGCAGCAAGAAGCAATTCCGTTCTCTGAATCCTGGAGCACTGTAGTGGCATTAGGGACCTGAGTTTCTCTACTTCTGTTCCTTTTCTTCCTCATCCTGGGCCCCTATGGCAGAACAGAACTTCCTTCTCTCTGTGTCTCTCTCATCCAACAATCCTTGGCAGCCCTGAGTAGAGGTTAACACCTGTGGGCACTGCCTCAAGGAGTCTTCCTTGTTGTACAGGCTATTTTGGGTCCCAGGACCTCTGGAGCCAAATCCTGGGTTATGATTTGGGGGCAAGAACCCAAATCTTTCTACGAGGTTAACAGAGCTCTTAATGTGTATTTAATGAGACTATTTTACATAGTAACTTTGATTAAGAGCTCTAATTTTATTCTACATCAGATTCTAGGAAACAAAATTCATATTTTTATTTTTTCTGGAATCTGATTCAGTTACATCCAGAATTTTTCAAGTTGTAAGAATGTTACAGCTTCCCCCATACCCTCCTTAAATGAGCTTGAGTTGGTTCAGGGAATATGGCATAGGGAGTCATGTCTGAGGGGCTCAGGCCTCTGTAACAAAGTGGGTCCCTGATATGCTTTCTTGTCACTTAAAGATGCATGGCTTCCCTGGCAAGTAGATGATGCCTTTACTCTCACCATTACCACTTACTCTTTTGTGGCTTAAGACATTTATTTTCTGGGTAAAAGCAGCCAAACTTGAGAGAGGCTATGTATAACAAGTGTCATATAATTTCCCATGGAGAATATACTTTTAAGCCTTGTCCTAAAAGTAGGCCATGGTTAAGTGGAACTGTATCCACCTCATTTCCCCACTATGGCCAAACCTGTCTATTCTCCTATCTGTCAAACACTTCTTGGCCTCCTTCTTTCTCTGCTTTTGCTCATGCCTTTTTCTAACTGGAATACCTTCTTGCTTCTTACACACTCATCTAAATTACACTCATCCTCACAGGTCTTATTCAGATCCCACTTTGCCAGAAAGCCACACCCTACCATTCCAGTATGAAGCCCTCCCTCTCTGAACTCTTAAAGATTGTAGTCAGAAGAGAGGACTCTAGAGGCCAGACTTCCTAGGTTCAAATACTTGCTATGCTATTGGTTAAGTTACTAAATCACTCTGTGCCTCAGTTTCTTCATCATGAAAACACATAATTACCATATAGAATTGTAATGGCAAAATAAATTTTTACACAGTCACTAGTTGAAACAGACTGAACATGGTGTTTTAAAGGAGTTAGCTGTTATTATTACTGCTGTCCCTTTGCCCCATCCCTTGTACCATTTTACATGCCCTGCTTTGTTTGGTTGGTGACTTTTTAACGTTTGTTTTATTTATTCATCTAGACTGCAGTACAACGACCACCAGTTGTATAGAACTTCACAATTCACAACCATTTGCATGTATTCAGTCTTATTTAATTTCACTTAAAATGTCCATACAAAATAACCATTATTTTTGCCATTATATAAATAAGGAAAATGAAGCTCAGAAAGGTGGTTAAGTCTCTTTTCCAAAATTTTCAGAGCAATGCTCAAAGCAATGCCTCCAACTAGAAGTATTAGGTTTCCTTAGTCATCATGAATCAATTGTAGAGGGATGAACATTGACAGGGTTGCCAGTAGCCCAATTGGCATTTTTATGTGGATTACAGAAAAGGGCCTTTTTCTTTGGGAAAAAAAATAGATGTGTCACCATGCTAGGACACATGGTCTGGGTACTCTTGTGCAGGACACAACCTGCGCAACTATATATGGCTGCCTTGGTCTTTGAGTGGAATTTTAGCTCTAGATATGAGAACACTGCAGCCAATGGGATTGTGCATAGGAATGTGCTTGAGGCCTAGATATGGCAGAATATGTGGTGGCTGACCCAGGGTGACAGTTTATACCTGCAGCTCAATGCCAAGTCTAGTGCCTTTCTGAAAAACTGAACCTGGTTAGATATGATGCACATGGAAAGGAAAAAGGACCAGCAACTTGAACTACTGTAAGTCACAGGTGGCTGCCCTGAAAACTACACAAATCATCAATCAACACTAAAACCTGAATCCCCAGCAGATCTCAAATGAAATCTATGGGAGGATGTGTAGAGAACACATTCTTTCCCAATATGATCAAAAAGCAATAAACTGCTCTGCCCTTGCTCAGGGTTATTGCTGGCTTAATAGCATTTCCAGATGAATAACACTACACATTTCTTCCCTAAATTCTTGATGATGACATGCAATGACTGGTGGGACTGCCAATATCCCAGCTTGATGGAATGAGCTGGCTCAGGAGAAATGAATAGTGCAGCTGTGAAAAAGAAAAAGCAAATGCTAAAAAAACTGGCATAGTCTTTCATTTCCCTGTGACTCCCATATTAATACAACTAAATGTCCTGGAAACAGCTCAATAGAAAATGATAGAAATACTCTGAAAGCTGGAAAAAGAAGCCAAATGGCCTAGGAGCCTAAGGATTTGAGGTACAACAATGCAGTAAATTCTGAGAGTTTACTCTTTATCTACCATGTATCCTTGGACTGGAATCCTAAGAGGCCTGAAACCAGGAATCATCAAAAGACATTAAGGAGAGGCAGGTCCAAGATGGGGCATTGGAAGATGCTGAGCTTGCCCCCTTCCATGGACATATCATATGCACATTCATATTTAGAGTAATTCCTTCTGAGAGATAACAGAGGGCCACATGAACAGTTTCTGCACAACAAACAGAAGAGAGAGACCACACAGAGAAGGCTGGGGAACTGTGAGAACCCTCCAGGAGCTGAGGGAACTCTCCAGGACCAGAGGAACCAGTGAGTGCAATTCTTTGCATTTCCCCTGCATTTGGATAGCAAGTGGGAGCTCTATTCAGGTGATCTGGTCAAGCTGCAGGGCTGCTGTAACCAGCACAAGGCACCCCTCTCGGAGCTAGCTACAACAGGAACAGGAGGGTTCCAGAGCACTCACGCACAGGGTCCCTCCACCTGGAAACTGATTCAGCAGGTACAACAAGGTACTGCTGCACACACCCACTGGGCTCCACACACACATGGGGCTGCCCACCCAGAGAAAGTGTAAAACTAGCAGGGCACTGTAGTGCTTCCACATAGGGCTTCCCCATCCAGAGAAAGTGTTAAGCCAGTAGGATGCTGCTGCACATACACATAAAGCTACCCCACCCGGAGAAAGTGTGGAACTAGTAGGGCACTGCTGTAAATACACATAGGGCTGTTTTTCCCAGAGAAAGGGAAGAACTAGTAAGGTACTGCTGTACATACATATAGGACTGCCCCACCCAGAGAAAGCATGGAACTAACAGGGTAATGCAGTGCTTGCACACAGGACCACCCCATCGGGAGAAAGAGTGGAACTAGCAGGGAGTTGCTGCATGTGCACATAGGATTATAGAACCCAAAGAAAATGAAGAACTACCAAGGCATCGTGGTACATGTACACAGTGCTCCCTCATATAGAGGAAATGTAGGGTTAGTAGGGCACTGCTGCATGTGAACACAGGGCTGACCTGCCTGGAGGAAGTTTGGAACAAGTAGGGCACTATGACAGACACACACACAGCAGCTCTACACAAACTTAGCTCAGATAACAGACAAAGCAACAGGGTATGCCATGCACACAATGGGAAGCCATGCCCAGATCAGAAGGGCAAGGAAGCACACACACATCAGGTTGCCATGTCCTGACTCCATTCTGACAAGGGACAGCCAGAACCACAGGGAGCTACAGCACATAAATGTACATCAGGCTGCCCCACCTGGAATTCTCTCTTTCTGGCCGGGCAACACACCAGGCACTGCAAAGCCTGCTCCAACTTTAATCAGCCTACCAAAATCATTCTGCACAGTCTTCACAGAGGCTACCTCTACAAAAGTCCACTTTTTCAACATTGAAAGAGGTTGTTATTTGTTCTAGCTCATAAGAATAAAAAAAAAACCCAGAGAGTTAAACAAAATGGGGAGATAGAAGAATATGCCTCAAATGAAGGAAGAAGAAGAAAAAAACCCAGAGGAAAAACTCTAATAAAATAAAGAAAAGGAATTTGCATGATAAAAAATTCAAGGAAACAGTCATAAGGATGTACAATAAAGTTGAGAGTAGAATAGAAGGATTTAGAGAGAATTTCAACAAAAAGTTAAAAAATATAATAAAGAAACAATCAGAAATGAACAATACAATAACTGGAATGAAAAAATACTCTAGAAGGCATTGATAGCAGATTAGTTAATCCAGAACAACAGATTAGTGAGACCTGCAAGACAGAATAGTGGAAATCACTCAATCAGAGCAGCGAAATGAAAAAAAAATTCTTTTAAATGAGGGTAGTATAAGG